TCACAGGTACGTTTTTTTGGCTTTTGAGCAAAATTTCAGGTGAAGGTGGGGTAGATGCTCTTGGGTTTGCTGCTGAGTGACTTCTCAGAGCTCACGTTTAGAGTGATGTTCCTTCCTAGGTTCCTAGCTGCCTTGCGGTTTAACCAGCAGGTGCAGCAGGTTCGTTCCTCTAATCTGAGTTAGTTGCTGACTAATTTTCAATCCATTTTGGTGGGAATCCCAAGTTTTCTAGGACTTAGTCAGTGCTTCCTGTCCTGCCTCTTTCCCACGCATGGGGTGTGTGTTCTGATTTATTTAATGGCAGACAGTGAACTATGTTCACATAAACAAAGCAAAATGGAAAGACAATTTTGACACAGGTCAAAACATTTAAATATTTAAATTCTTGTTTCCATCAGTCTTACTTGTTTAGCTGATGGGATTATTTCTCAACTGTTTTATTGAGATCATAACCGCTTACTTTGTGGTCCACTCACTGAAACTGAATAATCCAATAGTGCAAGAAAGTAACCACCACCTAATTTTTTATCACACTGATTTATTATATTATTATTTTGTATGTATGTGTACATGCACATGCACATGAGTACACACATGCAATGGCATATGTATGTGAAGGTCAGAAGACAACTTTCAAAAGTCAGTTCTCTCATCCCACCGTATAGGGTCCAGGGACTGCACTCAGGTTGTCAGGCTTGACAGCAAGCTCCTCTAGCCACTGAGCCACCCCGACAGCCCGTTATGCCTATTTTCTTCAAAGAATTTAATTTTTTAAGAAAGTTTTATGCCTGATGGATGGCACATGCGGGATGCAGAGGCAGGTAGATCTTTGTGAGACTGAAGCAGCCTGGTCTACATTGTGAGTTCAAGACAGGCTGGGGCTAGAGAGACTCTGTCAAAAACAACACCATTTTATTTTATTTATTATTCATTTGTGTGTGTGTGTGTGTGTGTGTGTGTGTGTGTGTGTGTGTGTGTGTACCATCTCACTGGACTGAGAATGTTCTAGGTTTGGTTCTTTTTTTTGTTTTGTTTTTAATACTTTATA